GGCGGGTAATGAACTTTTAGTAATAATGAAAAAAAGGGGTGGGAATAAGTTGGGAAACATAAGTTTAGAAGAATTGAATTTTACACTCAATTATAAAATTTGTATATTCAAAGATATTTCATCTGGAAAATATAATTTTCAAAATTATTTATTTTTTATTATTTTATTATTTAATTATATTAAACGAATCGTAAGGCATATAGATTTTTTTGTTTTCCTAAACCGCAGGGTGTTTACAAATATGGAAATGCTTAAATATCTCGAGAAATAGTAGCGAATCAATTATCTAAAAATGCAAGTGTGAAATATTTTCAAATGATGGTACTAAAATATCGATGCAAAATTAACTTGATCATTTTAACTCCTCACAAGGTGTAGGGTAAATGGAAACTTTGAAATCTTAAAGGGAATTGCCATTTTTTAATGCAAATATGAATTTCTTTCGAAAAAATACCCTAATTTTTTTAATAGTGTGTCTTTGATTTTTGGTTTAAAGATCGTTCTGTAATTGCACAATCACACGGAGAAAGCAGTTCTGGTTGAACTACCGTTTTGCATGGTAATTTTATGGTATTGTAATTTCTGATTAAAAAAAAAAGCAACAACAACCTAATTTAAGTAAATAAAACCAAAATGTACGTTATTTTTCAATTCGTATTTTAACCGTAAGCCGACGGGCATGTGCAGGGGACAGGGAACTGTTTTTGCATCAGAAAGGTTCTGGATTCGTATCCCGGGCAAGGCATGGATGTTCTTTCCTTTTCTGTACTATCTGTCCTCACTGTGGGAGCAACGTTGGCCCACCTTATATGATGCCCCTGAAAGAGAGGCCAACAAAATCGCCCTGTATATGCTTGAATTGACGGATGTTAACACAGGTGGGCATTAGAATATTTTTTTTTAACCGTAATATTTACCTGAAATTCTGATTTTGAAAATTAAACTTCCTATCACCACCTATTCATTAAAAAATACAAAAAACCAACTTTAACCGAATAAATAGTTGTAATGTCATGCTCTGAAGTACTATGATAATTTTACCAAATTATATCACAATTACCAAATTTTATCACATTTTATAAAACCATATTTTATTGTTATTTTTACCAAAATCTTTGCACCAGCAATTCAGTAAATATTACCACAGGGTCAAAAACACGGTATATTTTACCATATTCTGGTAGTTTTGATCATATAGGTTTGCTCAGTGCACTTTACCCGATAGAATGAAAAAGGGAAATCAGATTTGAAATCATCTAATGCATCAGTTGAATATAGTTCATAAGTGTTTTTTTAGATTTTTTATTCGATGCGTATTTTTTAGATATCTGGCCATTTCCATACATTTTGGGCACCTGTTATGTAAATTTATATAAAAAAAATTCAAAATTTGAATTGAAGATTTCAAAGAGGGTTTTGAGAAATAAATATTTAAGAACACCAAATCATTTTAATTGTACAATATATATTCCAACAATTATGTTCACAATTTTGATCAGATCATTCGAAATTATCCAATTCAAAACGGTGCGAAAAGTTATGCAGCTTATACATCAAAAATACTTAAATTTTGATTAAAATATATATTTAAATATAATTAATGATCAGAAACAATATGTATTAAAATACTTAATTTAGTAAAAGCTTGCTTTAAATTAATGTAGTAATTTTTGTTTTTCATTCATATGTAAAGTTTAGTTTTCAAAACCATGCTTTTTTGGAGAACTCACAAAAAAACATTGCAGAAAATAATTTAAAAGAATATAATCTGCAGAAATTTACTTAATTTAAAATATTGCATTAAAAGCCAATATAATTCTTTAAAATAGTTTAATTGACATGCCATAGTTTAATCGACATCGATTTCCAATGAACTGAAATGAGGAGTAGATATCATATTAAGAAATAACAAGAATATATATAGCAATTATGTTAGATATTTACAAATAGTAACATACAGAAGACTTAGTAATACCTTATAATAAGCTTTCAAACGCAACAGCTTCGAATATATAATTAATGACGCTCGTATAGTCGCTATTAACATCAGCATTCAAAGGGGAATCAATACGTTATAGTTAACTTATAAGTCAGTATCCCTATTTTATATTGATCTAAGTTTTCGATAAGTTTCGAAACGTCATTAACCATCATTATAAAAGCTAGATATTACTCAGCCATATTTAATCGAAATGATTACAGTGCGTGAGTGACTTTCTTTTTCGATTTTAATGCTTAAAATATATAATTGACTTTCCATATGCTGGGTGTTAAAAATATATGGTTCAAATATACAGTTCAAAATTCTCAAAAAAATATAATAGAGATAAAAATAATTTATACACATGTCAGAAATTTTTTCAAAAGATGCAGTCACGGATAAAAAACTCAACTCCTCCATTCTCCTTTACTATATCAGTAAATTTTATATTATCGAAGCGCTTTGGTAATTATTTTAGTAAAATAAACTGTAAAACATTGCTTTATAATCCGTGATAAAATTTGATAAATGTGGTAAAATTTGGTAATTCTGTCATGATAGGCCGGGATAGCCTGGTTGGTAGAGCAATGGGACCATGTCCAAGAGTTAGTGGGTTCTATCCCCTCCTGCCGAAGGCTGCCCGTGTAGTAAATGGTGACTGATGCACATTAAATATGTCAAGTCACAAAGTCCTCCATGTTCCCATAACAAATAATGCCTTGGGGGTAATGATCCAGGAGTTTCCTTGTCTTCTGGATTGGTTCAGAATTACAAGGCTACGGAGTTGAACATTAGTAGTAGTAAGCTCAAAATTGGGTCGGCTGTTCGATGACTGACATAAAATGAAAAATTCTATCATGATACTTGAGAACATAGCATAAAAAAAATTTATTAGGTTAACTTTACTTTTCAGTTCTGTATTTGTTACCAAATGTGAAGTAATAAGAACTATAATTTTTAAAAACTATAATTTTCGGTAAACAGCTACCATAATGAAAGTTAAAATTCCTAAATTAATGGTTTAAACACCGTGAAGTATATATGGTATTTTTTTTTTTAATTTCATCATCAAAAAACGATATTTTCTTCCTTTTTTACCATAAAAGTCATTGAATTACAATACGGTCATTTTACCAGAAAAATCATTAAATTACTGTACGGTAATTTAACCAGAATGATTTTCTTCGCGTATAAAAGCTCTATAAACTGATTTAAATCTGTGGATTGATTTTGTTTCTGTTGCATTATGGATTCTTCTCTAGCACATTTCATACCTGGACACTTCTGGCAAAGGTAGCAAATAGCTTTGAAATTTTAGCAAAATTTTACTTTTTCACAATTTTAAGGTCAAATATTCCATATCATAAAAGTACACTACTTAATATCTAGCTTTCCATAGGCACTTCTTACTTGCATTCCTTTAATGAAATATATGTTCATTGATGGCGCACCCCCGCAGATCATGACATTCAAAATCTGAAAAAGAAAAATGTTTCATTGTATGATATAAGTGCCAAGAATCAGCTAAAATTATTTACTGGTATTTATGTTCTGAAATTAGGTGTAATAGAACATTCAGTGCTGTGGTGTCTGTGCTGTCGTTCACAAGTGTCACAAAGAGTATTGTCACGTGTAAATTTAAGTGATTTTTTTTAATATCAGATAATCTTTAGATTTGACCCTCCGAAACTTAAACAAAAATTTAAATATTGCTTCCTTAACTGTGGTAATTGGTACAACTGGTAAAGTGCAAATAGGTACGTAATATAGGAAATTTTTTTTCTTGCGTTAGATAATTTTCTTAAAATTATGATTATACACCGAAGAGCCATTACATTATGACCACCCTGCTAATAGCAAGTAGGACCACCTTTAGTCCTCAAAACTGCTAGCACCCTCCTTGGCATTGATTCCACAAGGTGCTGATAGGTAGTCTGAGGTATCTGGTATCAAGCTCTCACCAACTGGTCCTGCAATTCCTTCACATTGTGAGGGGGTAGCGTGGCAGCACGATTTTGGTTTTCCAAGTAGGACCACAAATGCTCTATTGGATCAAGGTCAGGTGAATTTGGGGGCCAAGACAGGACTTGAAAGTCACTGGAATGTTCCTTGAACCAATCCATGACGATGCGACCCTTATGACATGGTGCATTATCCTGTTGGTAAACACCATCCCCAGCAGGAAAAACTGTTGCTATGAATGGGTGAACCTGGTCTGCAACTATGTTCAAATAGCTTACAGACGTCAGGGATTGTTCTATGAGGATTATGGGTCCTAATGTGCCCCATGAAAACATTGTTCCTGGTCGAGAAACCATGAAAACCTGGGAGAGCCCGTTGTTATAGATGGAGGGTGGTCATAATGTAATGGCTCTTCGGTGTATGTTCCGAAAGTAGGTGTAGTTGAACATAATTGTCAGTGCTGTGGTTCACTAGTGTCACAAAGAGTACTGTCACGTGCAAATTTAAGGGATTTTTTTAATATCAGATAATCTTTAGATTTGACCCTCCGAAGCTTTATCGAAAATTTAAATATTGCTTCCTTAACTGTGGTAATTGGTACTACTGAAGTGCTAATAGGTACGTAATATAGGAAAAAGGTTTTTTTGCATTATATATTTTTCTTAAAATTACAATTATAAATCGTAACAAGTAAATAAAAACCTATTTTTGTGGAATTAGGATTTTATGACCCACAGAAGCGGAATAGTGCCGAAATGTATATGAACCAAAATTTTTTAGAACTTTGTTTTGAGAATAGAACCGCATTTATATAAAGCTTGACTGAAATACATAATTTTCCGATGATCAAGCAAGGTGGGCTTGGATTGTGAAGCGATCCGAAAAGAATTTGCCAAATAGAGTTTGGTTGTTGGCAATAACATGACAAAAAGAGGCTGGAACTCCGCCAGAAATTTATAAAATAAATGCAACTCATCTGAATTTGAGTGATTTTCAGGCCATTTGATTTTAAATGAATAAATATATACATTGCAAAGTAATCCCATTTTTTTTTCAGGTCATAAAGATGCTTTCAATTGTGGTGGCAATGTTTGCTCTTTGTTGGCTACCATTTCAAGCTTACAATGTTCTCCAGCAAATAATTCCAAAGATCAACGAGTAAGTAAGAGAGTCTAATTTACATTTCATTCATCTACTACACTGTCATAATTGTGGTGTAAATTATTTTCAAATTTGGTTATTCAAAACTTCAAAAATTGCGTGAATGAATAATTTATTTCAATTTAATGCAAAATCGAGTGCTCATACACATTTAGGAGGGTGTAGTTAAATTTAAAAAAAAAAACAATAATTAAGAAAGTTTACTCAATAACCAGATGCATTAACTTCAATCGTGAATTATTTTCGCCAATTTTGACATTTGTTTGGAAACCATCAGATGAACAGAGTAGATTGTTTACAATCGGGCACAAGAAAGTGAAAGTTTGCCGTCGTTGAACAGTGCACTAAAAAACGGACCACCTTGAATAACATTTGATATAATGCTCAGATCTTCAATTTCTAGGATTCATTCTTAATGGTTTAAGGGGGGTGGCCTCAAATATACTAATTCATTAATGCAGAAGATATTTTGAGTTACAAAATTAGACAAAAAAAACGTACTTTATTTGAATAAACATACCTTTTTCGGCTGATTTGGATTTGTGACCATATGAAAAATATAGTGAAAAATATAGGTGGTAGTCGTAATCCTTGAAATATGCTCCCCATTGTTTGGTCAGGAGAGCGATCCAAAGTTTGGACTCCTTAGTGTGAATTTTACTTTTTGCGTATTCAGGCATATCTCTAGAACTTTTAAAGCTAATTGAAAATTTTCCCCCCTGGTTATAAATTTCATTTATTTGAAGATAAATCCTTGCAAAAAATTACTCACAGAGAAACTCATCTGAATATTCCATGTGTATGATTAATTAACTAACTAATTTTACTTAAAAAATAAATGCATACAAGCACCTTGAATTAAAAATTCTTACTTTATATTGTCTGGTAGAAATACTTTGCTTTTATGTGTAGCATATCTTACTGTAGTTATAAATTTTATTGTTACTGAATATCAAAAACTGGTAGCAATTACTTTGCACCAAGAAGTGCAAAAAACATTCTTGGTGTTTCACTAGACCAATTAGATGTCAAGTATTTGCCACTATATTTGGCGTTGAGAAGCACTAAAATCAAAACAGTGTAAATTTCATGGTATTTACATGGATTAATCTGAAAAAGTTAAAGAACTAATTCGAGGTATTACTTTAAACTAAAATTGAGTTTATATTGTGTTACTTTATCTTCTGACAAGAAATTGCTGAAAGAAAGGTGATTCGATTTTCATTTAAACCTAGCACACATTAAAATATTTACATTTATGATGTTTGAATTTTAATAGGTACAGTTAATTGTAAGTGTTAGCAATTACTTATTTTGTGAATAATTGTAAGTTTTAGTTATGGCAATCGAATTTCACTTATTATGGTTAACATAAGCCAGTATTTAAGCTTTTAGAAAGGAAAACAAATTTAAGTGGCAAACTTATTCATTTATGGCATGCAAGAATTGTAAAAAGTTTGAGTGAGAAAGATCGAGATAATATTAAAGTGAGTTTTAAAGGAGTCTTCTTTTATAAGGGAGTGATTATGATCTTAAGGAACGTTTAAAAGTAACTAGTAAATATTATTTTTTGTTTATTAAATTTCTTTTTGCATTAATATACGAGAATAGCATAAAACGTGGTAATAAGAAATATAAAAAATATATCCTGAAATTCAGATCAAGATTTTCGCAAAATATTCGATATCTGTGGTACGCAACTTTTTAATCCTTGCTAATTCTTTGATTGAAAGAGTTTCCAGTTTCAATAAACTAGTCTTAATGATCAATGATAATAATAATGTTTGAAAGGAATAAAATTCGAGAATACAAAAAAGAAAAAAAAATACTTATACTTTGATCAATTACTATTCAAGAACAAACTCATTAAAAAATTAAATATAAAATTTATAAAACAGTTTTAAGTCCCGGAGTAAGTCATGGCCGCGAAACCTGGATTTTGATGAATAATGACGAATAACGATAATTTATTAATTATTTTACGAAAATGATTTTGGTTAATTGAAATAAAACTATTCACGAGGAACAATAGGAAACAATAATAAATTTAGTAACAATAACTATAAAAATATTATTTAATTCGAAAAATTAAAACACTTGGATTGCCCATCCCTTACAAAAAAAATTGAATAAAAGTATGGGGCTGAGAGAAATTTTAAATTGGAAACCAATTAATTCAAGATGAGAAAAATATATGGTTAAATGACGTAACAAAAGATCCAACTATAAAGAAAATAACCAATTGGAAATCCAAACTAAAAATAAGAAGGTTTGGAACAACATTGTGCTGCAAGCCAAGACCCACAGCGATTTGTAGAGTTATAAAAGAACCTTTTTCTAAATTTCGAAGAAAAATGGCGAGCTTTTTATGAAAACGTAGTAACGGGTAGGAAAAAGTTTAGTATATTTATTTTTATGTTTCACGAAAGATCAAAACAAGAAACAAAAAAATTATTTTAAATATTCAACTCCGTGTTCTTGTAATTTTGAACCCAGCCCAGAAGACAAGGGAACTCTTGGATCAAGCAATGGGACAACCAAGCCTTGGTGGAGGATTATTTTTTGATTAAACCTATCTGCCTTTGCGTTACATAGAGTTTAATACTACGCAAAATTCCCACCAAAAAGGGGATTCCAAACCATGATCCGTCTGCCACCGAGGCATATTTACGTAAACACTGCCGTCGGTGCGAGACGGGAGCATAATTGATATAATCCAGGTTTCGCTGGGATTCCAACCTGATTAACCTTGGTGAACTTTCTCTCCATTGAGCCACTGATAGTGACACTTACTAAAAGCTCAAAAACTTCGTTTCACGAGTTACTGAAAATAGTTTCATTTTACTCAGTGGTCCATAATTATCGGCCATCATAAAAATATTTTTTTAATTTTTGCAAAAATGAAATTGATATTATATTTCAAGTTGGGGTTGAAAGTTAATATTTAATTAAAGTGGAAAGAAATCCTTTTAAAATTCCAAATAATCCTTCTAGAGGAGGCTAAATTAAAAACATCAAAACCTGTTTAATTGCCAGAGAAAATCGAGAGGATATGAAAGGCAGCAATCGAAATGAATCAAAATGGTTATGTCATTTTTAAAGGAGAATTTCTCTGGTACGGATTCATTAGATTTTAAATAAAGACAGCATACAATTTTTAATTCAGTTTTTACAAAGATATTAAAAATACAATAGCGATGATAACAGAACATCCTGAATATATATAGTAAAACTAATTCTATGACAAAAATATTTACCTGATGGAAAACTCCATATACCTCAAAAATATGCAAAATTGAAAGCATAGTCGACATGTTTCAAGCGCATCAAAAATAAGTGCCCATTTTCCAGACTTGACAGATGTGAATGTAACGAAACAAAAATGATTTGAAAAAGAGCGCAAGTTGCCAACAAAAAATGGAAAAAGTACGAAACAAAAATGACAAAAAATCCACAAATGCTGAGAGAGTTAAGAGATGTAAAACAGAACAAGAAAAAGCGCAGTGACCGGGAGGCAAATCAGGGTAAAATGCATTCCCAAGCGTTATGGAGAGGTTGATAGAAGCCAATGTCGTTAATAAGGGAATCAGCATTCGAATGAATTAAATAAGATTCCATGGTATCTAGATGAGTCGACGTGACTGAGTGGAAATAATTCTAGCGTTGTCGAAATTGAATCAGAGCAAAGGTTAAGTGCAAAGTGTCAGAGCATAGATTAAGTCCACGTAAAACGAAAGTAGGAAAATCAGACATTTTTTGACAATTAGGGTGTATAGAATTAACATGAGAAGGCAAAGAGGAGGCAAAATATTTACTATAAACAGAGATATGAAATTATTAGAGTGTTTGGTTACGAGGATATCTGAAGAAGGTAAAGTAAAACTAATTTCCTTGTCTAATGTAAATTGAATATTGGTGTCAACTGAGTTGACAATAGGGACAAAAGAAACAATGAAAAATGAAAATTATGAAAAAATTCGACCATCTAAGCTGACGTCTTCAGGGGGAACCAGCTCCGGAAGTCATAAAAGCAAAACCTTTTCTATCGAGAGAGCAAGACAAATGTCCAAATTGCTCTCTCTCTCTCTTCCCCAAAGGTTTTGCCAAAGTCCAGGAAGAGAATACAATACAAAATCTAAAATACATAAAGCAAATACAAAAGTATAAAATCAAGACTAATACATAAGAATAAAACGCACTGAAGCTTACTTGAAACATAAATCCCATAACCAAATAGCACTACTGACTGCCAAACAACAACTAAATTGAAATAAAGGAAAAAACAACTCCCCCTAACTTGATGCGCAGAAGGAAGGAAAAAAAAAGAGCGAGAATAGAAAGCAACTGTTGAAAATCAGTATCACTGCCTATTAAGACAAACGTATCGTTAACGTATCTTTTCTACCCTGAGAATTTGAACAATTTAAAGATTTTTTCTTCGAATAGTGCTTGGAAATGTCACAGAGAATGGGTGAGAAGTGTTGCCCATGGCTAAAATCTCAATTTGTTTATAGAAATTACCATTGAAATGCAAAGCAGTTTTCTGAATGCAGGAATTCACAAGGGAGATAATATCAATTTCAATGAAAGTGTAGTGAAAATTTTGCAACAGTAGTTTTAAACAATCAATAGTACTAGAAATAGGGAAAAATAGAATTAGTGAAAATAGAATTAGTGAAAAGAGAAACAACATCAGAAGAGAGCATTGTCTTGTTGACGGGGATAGACGCACGAGATGGGAAACGAAATCATGGGAATTTTTAACAGTATGGATATTATTAGAGGTGAGATGCTGAGAGCTAAATCGAGAGAGTTTATAGCGTGAGGTATCAATGTTCGAGACAATAGGTCTAAAAGCAAGTTGAGGTTTCTGAATTTCAGGAATTGCATAAAAACGACCACAATTTGAAACAGAAGGAATGCCATAACGTTTAATGTAGTCTGAAGGAGGAAAATAACTTTAGAAAAGAGGCTAACATCTTCTCAACATGATTTTA